AAGTCTTATTCAACATTATGGACCTATTCCAACTTTCAGAATCGGAATATGACCCCGATATCAAAAAGTCAACCCTCCGGTTAAACTTTCTAAAATTCGACTTTTGCCATTTAGAGCCTAAATTAGCTGCAGACCTCAAATTCATAGTCCGGACATGCTCCTAAGTCCAAAATCACCCAACGGAGCTAACGAAACTGACAGAACTTCATTCCAGAGTCATCTTCACATACTTCCGACTACGGTCAAAATCCTGAGACTTAAACTTCGGTTTTAGGGACTAAGTGTCCCAAAACACTCCGAAACCAAAAACAAGACATCCCGGCAAGTCACTTAAGCAAAAACAGATACGGAAAAAATAATAAATAGGGGATCGGGGCTAATACACTCAAAACGACTGGTCGGGTCGTTACATCCTCCCCCCTTAAAATAATCATTCATCCTCGAACGAGCATAGAGACATACCTGAAGTAGTGAAAAGATGAGGATAACGGCTGCGCATATCGTGCTCGGTCTCACAAGTCGCCTCCTCGACCGGCTGACCCCTCTACTGAACCTTCACAGAAACAGTACTCTTCGACCTCAGCTTTCGAACCTGCCTATCTAAGATCGCCATCGGCTCCTCAACATAACATAAATCCTTGTCCAAATGGACTGAGCTGAAATCCAACACGTGAGACAGATCGTTGTGATACTTCCGGAGCATAGAACATGGAATACTGGATGAACTCCTGCTAGACTGGGAGGTAAGGCCAGCTCGTAAGCAACCTCCCCAACACGTCGCAATACCTCAAATGGACCAGTAAACCTCGGGCTCAGCTTGTCCTTCTTTCCGAACCTCATAACACCCTTCATGGGTGACACCCGGAGAAAGACCCGCTCTCCAACCATGAATGCAACATCGCGAACCTTCCGATCCGTATAACTCTTCTGTCTGGACTGGGCTATGCGTAGTCTATCCTGAATTACCCTAACCTTCTCCAGAGCATCCTGAACCAAGTCTGTACCCAATAATCTAGCCTCGCCCGGCTTGAACCAACCCACTGGAGACCTACACCTCCTACCATACAGAGCCTCATACGGTGCCATCTGGATGCTCGACTGATAACTGTTGTTGTAAGAAAACTTCGCTAGAGGCAAGAACTGATTCCATGAACCCCCCAAACTCCATCACACATGCACGGAGCATATCCTCTAATATCTAAATAGTGCGCTCGGACTGTGCATTTGTCTGAGGGTGAAATGATTCGCTCAACTCCACCCGAGTACCCAACTCATGTTGTACGATCCTCCAGAACCTTGATGTAAATTGCGTACCCCGGTCAGAGATGATAGATACCGGTATGCCATAAAGCCTGACGATCTCGCGGATATACACTCGAGCCAGCTGCTTGGAAGAATAGGTAGTCATCACAGGAATGAAATGAGATGACTTGGTCAGCCGGTCCATAATCACCCAAATTGCATCAAACTTCTGCTGAGTCCGCGGAAGCCCAACAACGAAATCCATAGTGACCCGCTCCCATTTTCATTCTGGAATCTCTAACTTCTGAAGCAACCCACCTGGTCACTAATACTCATACTTCACCTGCTGGCAATTTAGGCACCGAGCTACATACTCCACTATGTCCTTCTTCATTCTCCTCCACCAGTAATGCTATCTCAAGTCCTGATACATCTTCGCGGCACCCGGATGAATAGAATACCACGAACTTTGAGCCTCCTGAAGAATCAACTCACGCAAACCATTTACATTGGGCACACATAGCCTGCCTTTGTATCCTCAATGCACCATACTCCCCAATAGTGAGCTCATTAGCATCACCGTGTCCTTAAGGACAAGCAGATGGGAGTCCTCATACTGATGCTCCGTGATACGATCAGAAAGAGAAGTTCGAGAGACCACACAAGCCAATACTCGACTCGGCTCAAAAATATCCAATCTAAGAAACTGACTAGCTAAGGCCTGAACATTCAATGCCAATGGCCTCTCTACTGCTGGAAGATATGCTAAGCTCCCCAAACTCTCCGTCTGGCAACTCAAGGCATCCACCACTACATTGGCCTTCCCGGGATGGTACAAAATGGTGATATCATAGTCCTTAAGAAGCTCCAACCACCTCCGCTGATGCAAGTTAAGATCCTTCTGTTTGAACAGATGTTGCAAACTCCGATGATCACAATGGACACCGTACAAATAATGCCGCCAAATCTTCAAGGCCTGAACAATAGCTGCTAACTCAAGGTCGTGGACATGATAGTTCTTCTCATGGGGCTTCAACTGGCGCGAGGCATAAGCAATCACTCTACCTCTATGTATAAGAACATACCCAATGCCGATCCTCGAGGCATCATAATACAATGTGTAAGAGCCAGAAACTAATAGTAGGACTAGAACTGGAGCCGTGGTCAAAGTAGTCTTGAGCTTCCAAAAGCTCTCCTTGCACTCCTTCGACCACCTGAAAGGAGCACCCTTTTGGGTTAATTTGGTCAAGGGCGATGCAATAGATGAGAAACCCTCCACAAAACGACGGTAATAGACTGCCAACCCAAGAAAGCTCCGAATCTCTGTGGCTGAGGAAGGTCTGGGCCAACTCTGCACCGCCTCTATCTTCTTCGGATCCACCTGAATACCCTCACTGGACACCACGTGCCCCAAGAACGCCACTGAACCGAGCTAAAACTCACACTTGGAGAACTTTGGATAAAGCTTCTCCTCCCTCAATCGCTGTAACACAATCCTCAAATGATGGGCATGCTCCTCCTGGCTACGAGAGTACACCAGGATATCATCAATGAGTACAATGAGGAACGAGTCAAAATATGGCTGAAACACACTGTTCATCAGATGCATGAACGCTGCTAGGGTGTTGGTCAACCCAAAAGACATCACAAGGAACTTATAATGGTCATATCGGGTCTTGAAAGTTATCTTAAGAATATCTGAGTCCCGAATCTTCAGCTGGTGATATCCTAACCTCAAATCAATCTTGGAGAACACCATCGCTCCATGAAGCTGGTCAAACAAATCATCAATACGCGGCAAAGGATACTTGTTCTTGATTGTGACCTTGTTCAACTGTCTGTAATCAATGCATATTCTCATAGTACCACCTTCTTCTTCACAAATAGAACTGGTACACCCCAAGGTGACACGCTAGGCCGAATAAACCCTTTATCAAGGAGTTCCTGAATTTTCTCCTTCAACTCCGCCGGTGCCAAACGATACGGTGGAATATAAATAGGCTGAGTGCCCGACACCAAATCAATACCGAAATCAATATCCCTGTCGGGCGGCATGCCCGACAGGTCTGCAGGAAACACATTCGAAAAATCTCACACCACAGGAATAAAATCAATAGTAGGGACCTCTGCACTAACATCCATCACAAAGGACAGATAAGATAGACAACCTTTCTCAATCATCCGCTGAGATTTCAAGTATGAAATCACTCTACTGGGAACATAGTCTATAGAGCCACTCCATTTAACCCTCGGCAACCCCGGCATTGCTAACGTCACGGTCTTAGCATGACAATCTAGAACAGCATGACATGGAGACAGCCAATCCATACCCAAAATCACCTCAAAATCGACCATACTAAGCAATAAGAGATCTACTAAAGTCTCCAGGCTCCCAATAGTCACCACACATGACCGATATACACGGTCCACAATGATAGTATCGCCTACTGGAGTGGACACATGAACAAATAAAACTTAGAAACTCGAGGAGCATATCCAGATAATGAGCGAAATACGAGGACAAATATGAATAAGTGGAACCAGGGTCAAATAATACTGAGGCATCACTATAGCAAACTGAGACAATACCTGTAATCACAGCATCCGAAGCAATGGCATATGGTCTGGCAGGAAGAGCATATAAATGGGCCTGGCCGCCCCCTGATCGGGTGACCCCTAGCTGATTGGGCTCCACCCTAAGCTGGCTGAGCGGGTGGTAAAGAAACTGGTGCTGATGTCAGAGACTGGCTCCTCTATTGAGCCGGACCTCCTGTAAGACGGGGACAATGCCTCCTGATGTGGCCAAACTCTCCACACTCATAACAATTCCTCGATGCTGGTGCTGGAGACTGAAGGGAGCCTCGAGCACTGGGATAATAGGCAGAAGGACCTGGCATAGATAAACCCTGACCCGATGGAGCACGGGACAAACTCTGAGCTGGGAGGGCACTGAGAGATGAATGGCCCTGCTGATAACTGTGTGAACCATGGCCAGATGATGCACCACGGTGAACTAGGCGAGCCGTCTGAGCATGTCTGAAAGGACGACCCTACTATGGTGGAACTGCCCCCAGAAGGAACACCCCTAAATCCACCCTGACCACGAGGCCTCTTGGCCTCCCTCTCAACCCGCTCCTGGATGCGAACCATCTCAATCTGATGAACAATGTCAACAACCTCGTTGAAAGTAGCACCAGACACTCTCTCTCTCTAGTCATAAGCAATCGTAGATGAAAGGTGAGGCCATCTTTGAATCTCTTGATCCTCTCCCTGTCTGTGGGAACCCACCAGATAACATGACGGGCCAACTCTTAAAATCTCGTCTCATACTACGTCACGGACATATCACCCTGACGAAGTTGCTCGAACTGCTTACGCAGCTCCTCTCTACGGGACTGAGGCACAAACTTCTCCAGCAATAGACCGGAGAACTGCTGCCAGGTAAGGGGTGCTGCGCCGACCGGCCTACGCCTCTCGTAAGCCTCCCACCAACTGAAGGCAGCCCCAGAGAATTAAAAAGTAGTGAACGAGACCCCACTGGTCTCTAGAATACCTGATGTACGGAGTATCCTCTGACACCTGTCCAAGAAGCCCTGTGCATCCTCTCCCTCGGTACCACTGAAAGATAGAGGCTGGAGTCTAAAAAATCTCTCCAATCGACGCTCCTCATCATCAGGCATGACAGGAACCACATAGTCTTGAGCAGCTGCAATCGGCTGGGCTGGTGGTGCCCCCGGTGTCTGGATCCCTGTACCACCTGCTCTGGTGTGCGGGCGGCGGGAGTCTGAGCACCTCCCCCTGCTTGAGAAGTGGCTGCTGCTACCGGAACAGAGGCCGCCTGAGCAAGACTTGTACACGTGGTCAGAATCTGAGCTAAGGCCTCCTGAAGGCCTGGAATCACAATAGGCACAGGTGGTTCATGAGCTGGTCCCACTGACTCATCCATAACTGGAGCCTACTCCTGAAATGGGGCAACTAGTGGATCTGCAGGTGCTGCCTTAGCTACGGTGCGAGCTGCACCTCTGCCCCTACCACGGCCTCTACTGCGACCTCGGCCTCTCACGGCCCTGACTGGTGATACTGGTGGATGTCCATCCTGCCCTGTAGTATGTGTCCTCGCCATCTGTGAGAGAATTAGAATAACAGAAATTTAGTTACCAGAATCAAAAGATTCGCACGACAAGAATTCAAGAATGTGAAGTTTCCTAAGGGTTCGACAGACTCTCGTAGATAAGTACAGACGTCTCCGTATAGATCCGCAAGACTCTACTAAACCTGCACATGACTCGTGAGACCTATGTAACCTAGGCTCTGATACCAAATTGTCACGACCCAAAACCTAACCCATAGTGATGGCGCCTATCGTGTAACTAGGCAAGCCGACATTTCCAAAACACTTTCAACATTTAACAGAAATGAATTAAGACATTTAAAATAACCAGAGTTTTTCATAAAAATGAAGTAAAACCCAAAAAACATAAGTGCAGAAAAATAGCCCGACATCGGGGTGTCACTGAGTTATGAGCATCTAGATATCCAGTCTAATACAAGGTCTGCGGATGCCGATAGCTACCTCGTAGTCTCCGATACTCGATCGCACACGAATTCAACGACCTCCGTGATCAAACGCACTTGGATCTGAACATGAAGTGTAGGGTGTAGCATGAATACAACCAACTTAGCAAGTAACAGAAATAAATAAGGAACTGAGAAGGTAGTGACAAGCTATACAATTACAGTTCATTTTCAATAATTCCAGCAAAGAGTAGACATGCTTTCAAATCTGACAGTTCAAGTCAAATCAGTTTACATAGTTACAGTGCAGGTAATCAGGATATTGAATCTTTCAGAAATTTCACAACAATGACAGATAGTAACTAAGTGCATCAACAAATGAAAAACAAGTACCACCTCTCAAGGCAATAGACACTCAACTCGTCACAACAGCTTAATCACTCGGCTCTCAGCCCTCAGTATTCACACTCAATAGGTACCTGTACTCACTGGGGGTGTGTAGACTCCGGAGGGGCTCCTTTCAGCCCAAGCGCTATATTGCTGCTTCGTGCAGCCCGACCCAATCATATAAGTAGCCATAAGGCTCGTTGCGGCGTGCAACCCGATCCACAATCCATAAATAACCATAAGACTCGTTGCGGCGTAAAACCCTATCCATATGCCCTCACATAGCTCACAGCTCGACACGCATGCCCTACCTCAGTCACTGACCTCTCCAGCCCCTCGGGCTCACAGAATATCATAATAATCAGCCCAAACAGAGAAAACAACAAGTATCAACTAGAAATGAGAGGGAACAGAGATATAACACACAAGTAAGACTTGAACTGAGTACAAGACAAAAGTTAGCAGTCAATCCAATAAGTACTCGACCGCTACGGGTCCTAACAGTGATAACAATATGGCCTAAGCATGGTTTCCAACATGAATGGCAGTCAAATTTCTAGAAGACAGAGGGAACATGAAATTAACAATGAGCTATTCGACTTTACAGTCTCGCGGGATGGACCAAGTCACAATCCCCCCACGGTGCACGCCCACACGCCCATCACCTAGCATGTGCGTTACCTCTAAAACAATCATATCATACCAAAATGTGAGGTTTCATACCCTCAGGACCAGATTTAAAACTATTATTTACCTCAAATCGAGCAAATCTATACTCTGAAATGTCTTTGCCTCTCAAAACGGTCTCCAAACGTCCCGAATCTAGCCAAAAGTAGAACAATATAATCAATATAAGCTAAAGGGATCAATTCCACAAGAAAAGTACTAAATTAAGCCAAAAATCCGAAATCGACCCGAACTCGGCCCACGTCTCGAAACCCAACAAAAGTCACAAAACCCGAAAGTCCATTTAACCATATCAAATTTACTTAAATCCGATTAAAAAAATCCATTCAAAATCTAAAAATTCCAACTCAAGAGTTCTTCCTCTTTTTTCCCAATTTCTCACCCAAAATCACAAATTAGATGATAAAACTAAAGATGAAATCATGGGATTTAACCAAAACCAAGTAAGAATCACTTACACCAATCAACTCCACGAAAATCCCTTCAAGAATTGCCCAATTCCGTGTTCTCTAGCTCAAAATGTGTAAAATGGGTTCAAACCCCCGTTTTTGAAATTAATACTACCTGCCCAGATATCATTCATCATGATCGCGGAACATTCCTCGCGATCGAGAAGCACAACTATGCTACCCCACATTTTTACACTACGCAAATGTGGAATCATCCATGAGATCGCAGATCACTGCCTCTCATACCTACGGGATTGCATCCTTCCTCACGCGATCGCATAGAGCATTGGCCACACCTCCCCTCCTGCTCAAATCCTTCTACGCAAACGCGACCTTAGCCACGCGTTCGCAAAGCACATCTTCGCACACATACGCGATCGTGTTCCTAGCCTTGCGATCACATAGAACAAACTCACCTCTTCCCCAAATAAGCTTACGTGATCGCGAATGAATCCCTGCGATCGCGTACAAGAAAACCAGAACCTGCTGAAACCAGAACTTCAACTATCAAGCCAAGTCCAAAAATGATCCGTTAAGCATCCGAAACTCACCCGAGGTTCCCGAGACCTCAACCAAGTATACCACCCAATCCTAAAATACCATACGAACTTAGTTGAGCCTTCGAATCACTCAAAACAACATCAAAACACCAATTACACCCGGATTCAAGCCTAAAGAACTTCTAAACTTTCTAATTACACAAACGACGCCGAAACCTACCAAACCACGTCCGATTGACCTCCAATTTTGCACACAAGTCTTATTCAATATTACGCACCTATTTCAACTTTCGGAATCGGAATCCGACCCCGATATAAAAAATTCGACCCCCCGGTCAGACTTCCCAAAATTCGACTTTCGCCATTTCAAGCCTAAATTAGCTACAGACCTCAAATTCACAGTCCGGACACGCTCCTAAGTCCAAAATCACCTAACGGAGATAACGGAACCGACAAAACTCCATTCCAGAGTCGTCTTCACACACTTCCGACTACAATCAAAATCCTGAGACTTAAGCTTCGGTTTTAGGGACTAAGTATCCCAAAACACTCCGAAACCAAAAATAAGACCTCCCAGCAAGTCACTTAAGCAAAAACAGATACGGAAAAAATAGTAAATAGGGAATCGGGGCTCATACACTCAAAACGACCGACCGGGTCATTACAAATTAGAAAAAAAGTTATTTTTACTAAAATATTGTGTAAACAACACGGTGACATGACTCATGGTTATACAATTACCAATGGGATGTAATACACTTTTTTGTAATTCATATCCAATTTTATACATGTACATTTGTATATTTGTATATGAAAGCATGATTTTGTTGAAATTTTTGTTATGTGCATGTGATTTTCTACTCTAAAAATAATATAATTTATAAAAAATAATTACTGGGGCCAGTAGAACTGGTTACTAAATATGGTATACAGCAACTGGTCTACGCTTAAGGACCAAAATAAAAGTACTTAAGGACCAGATTTGTGGTCCCTAAAACTATTTTAGGGACTAGAACTTTTCTACTCGTTACAACTCCTTAAGGACCAGCTCCTCAAACTCGTCGTTATTGGCCTTTAGCGGCGGAGCCTCTAGCGACGAGCGGCGACCAGATTTTACTGGTCGTTATTGTACTTCAAGGACCAGAATCACACTTTTAGGGACTAGTTTTCCTGTCGCAAATGACTGTTTTTCTTATAGTGTTGGTCTGATTCAACACGTGCCCCTCTTGTCAAGAACAACTTTGTACGAAGATGATTACAATGGACAAATTCTAATCTCGAGGGTGAGGATGATCCAAGATGAATGGCACGACTTGATCATGATGCCAATGGGAAAAAATCCTTGGTGCACGCCCGAGTACTTCGTGTGGATCAACGAGGAGGACGAGTTGGCCAGACCTAGTAGAGAAGGATTGACCGGACTAGAGGACTCAGCAACAGCTCTGCAAATATATCACAAGATTTTGCCTCACTATCTCATCACCACCGCCATTGCATCAACAGGTAGGGTTCCAGGATCGGTCGACCACATGTAGCCGCTATAGGACGACAACCAGGTGATTAAATAAACTATTTACTCACGTTTATCACTAATGATTTTCAGCGTTTAATGATTAACAGATTTGAGAACCAAAACTAACGCTCCTTGAAACTTCAAAGAAGATCATAAACGATAACAGACTATTTTCAAAATTAAAAGCAGTCGCACATTCAAGTTTGCTATAACAAACATCGACAAGTTTTAAGCACAAAACTTTCTCGCTAAAATTATCTTCAAAGACAAAGTTATTCCAATTAGAGACACATTTCCACCGGATAAAACTTTTGCTTTACAACTTACACAACCTCACAAATAATATCTCTCTTTTCAAATAGAATTCACAACTTTTCCAAAACAACGAGTTTTCGAACAAGGTTTCAAAACATTCTTTACAAATCTTATTTAGCCATTTTAGACATTAAACTGAGCAGAATATAGATTTTCCTTTTCCCAAATCTACCCTAAGTTTAAGGAGCCACCTCAGATGGATTTTAAGAGATGCATAACACCTTCCCCTTAGAATAACTAGAACCCTTATCCAAATCTCAATGGTTAGAAGACTATTAAGATAATAAACTTACAGACTTATAGGTACCCTAATATACCTTTAAATATTAGGTAGCGACTCTCTTTTATCAACCTCAGATTAACAATAAGATACTTACCTCAAGCAAGCCAAATCAAATACCGAGCAAGCCCAACAATACTCTAGAAACGCCATCCTATGCGAATCGACCTTCGAACGGCTCGAAAGTAGCCAAAAACAACTCAAAATCATCAAATAATGCAAAAGGAAGTAAACCCAAATAATAAAAGTCGAATATTTAACCAAATACTCAAAGTCAACTCGGGCCCACATCTCGAATCTGATAAAACTCAAAAATTCCGACAATTTATTCAATTAAGAGCCCAACCATAGTAATTTCATTTAAATCCGACTTCGAATCGATGTTCAAAACCCAATTATTCACTTTAGGAAAATTTAGACAAAATCCCCCCAATTTGTCTTTTACAATCATCAATCAAATGCACAAATCGAAGATGGAATCATGTAATATAATAAAACCCGAGTAGAAAATCCTCTAACAAATCTCCCAAATCAGAGTTCCCCAACTCAAAATGTGATAAAATGAGCTCAAGGTCCGAAATAGAGTACTTTATAATCAGTATCCAGTTATATGCATCGTGATCGCGGCATGACCCTCGCGATAGCGAAGAAGAAAAAATCACACTAGCCTGAAATACTCTACGCGTTTGCGAAACAGACCATGCAAACGCAATGCGCACAGATGCCAACGCTCCGCGAACGCGACCTACGACACGCTAACGCGAAGAAGAGTTCTCCAGCTCCCAGCTGCCCAACGCAAATGTGATCCCACTGTGCCAACGCTCCGCGAACGCGACCTACGACACGAACGCGATGAAGAAAATCACCAAGCGCTAGACTTAACTTATGCGATCGCGGATACATCTTCGCGATCGCGAAGAACAATTGAGGCATCAAAAACCAGCAAAAGCCAGCAATGAAATCATCCTCCAAGATGATCTGAAATCATCCCGAAACTCACCCGAGCTCCTCGAGACCCCATCCGAACGTATCAACAAGTCCCAAAATATAACACGGATCATTCGAGGCCTCAAATTGTACATAACAACATCAAAATCATGAATCGCACCTCAAATCAAACTTAATGAACTTTTGTACTTTCAACTTCTAAAATTCATGTCGAACCATATCAAATTAACTCGGAATGGCCTCAAATTTTGCACACAAGTTCAAAAGGACATAACAAACCTAGTCCAATTTTCAGAACAACAATCCAAAACCGATATCATCAAAGTCAACTCCCGGTCAAACCTATGAACTTTTCAATCCTTCAAATTGCCAACTTACGCTAATTAGTACCAAACATTCTAAAAACATCCAAATGCAAATCCAGGCATACATCCAAGTCCAAAATCACCATTCGGACCTAATGAAACCTCAAAATTTCGATCTGAGGTCAAATACACGAAAGCCAAACTTGGTAAACTCTTCCAACTTAAAACTTCCTAGTTGAGAATCATTCTTCTAAATCAATCCCGAACCACTAAAAAACTCCGATGATACACATAAGTCATAATATATCATATGAAGCTACGGATGCCCTTGAACCACCAAACGAAATACAATTGCTCAGAACAACCGGTCTGGTCGTTACAAATTTACACTATTATGGTCTGCGAAACCGTTAAGATTCCAAGTAAGAGTTCAAATTATCTAGAGGGAAAGGGGTTAGGCATCCCTCAAGATCAACAAAAATGTATGTCCCGCAGACTTAATCAAATATATGAGGGAAGGTTCAAAAGAATGATTAACTACCTCACATAGAATTCCTATCAAGAGTAGCCAATGTAATTGTCATGCAACGAATAAATATTTAAACCGGGACTATTTTATTTGTAGAAAAATATATACAATAGGATATGCAAAGTAAATTAATAAACAAAAATCTTTGGGGTTTGATTGAAAGAATTGGATTCGAACTAAAGTATAAAGAAAACTTTGATTTATAATTAAAGCCAAGTGAATATAGAAGGTTAGTCTTATGTAAATAAAGGTAAAGAGTTACCTTTGAATAATTAGCTATCAATTAAATTAAAGAAACAATCAAATAAAATAATTTTTTTTATCATAAATTGTGGGGGGCATAAGAAAGAATTATCTAAATAAATCTTATATGATAGGATGTCTAAGGTTCTATCCTAAAGGGTTAGTTGAGTAAAGAATAAATAGGGAACATGAAAGGTTTGTCAATGATATACAAGAAAAGAATTATTTTTTAATGAAAAAGTACGTTTAAAAATAAATAAATTAAATACCTATGATTAAAACTTTACCTAAGGCTATTACTTTAAATCACATTGTTAGCCAAAGAAATATTCACAGACATGAATCTAAGTGTCACAGTATAAGATATGGTAAGAGTAGAGAAAAATATAATGATAATTAAATATTTTAAAATTTGTACTAAACACAACTAAATTATTCACAATCTCAAATTTACTCGAGTTAAACTAACTAGTTGGATTAACTACGTGAATACAAATCAAGTAATCAAACCAATTACAAGAACATGTCTAAGGCCTAAGTATTTGATGTGAACTATTGTTAGCTAAGGCTAGACGGCTAAAATTATTTTTTATCTACACATGATTTTCTATGTGTGATAGATAGAGCAGATAAATACCTAAAAGGATAAGTAAAGCAATATTCTAAGTAGATTTCGACTATACTTGTATTTGAGTACATCTGAGAACGGAAAGTACGAATCGGGAAATCGGGAAATGTGACGGGAATTTATCTTTATATCTCCGAGTTTACTCCTCAAAGCTCTACAAGTAAAGTACCTCGCAAAGAAAGAAGAGAAACATGTTAGTAAATAACATGATAAAAAAACAAACTAACAAAATGATATGTTTTTTGAAAATGACTTTTTGAAATCTTTTTGGAATTTTTTTTTGAAAATAGTTTGAAATATATTTTTGGGAGGTTCGTATTGTATATTCGATTTTCGTCTAGAAATGAAAACGAGAACCCCCTGGTTGCGACTACGGTAGCCAACCGTGTCGCTGTCCAAAGTGTTAGTTCATCACGTTCTCGTCTTTCTCTTTTCGATAAGTTATCGTCATCGCCTCTTTATTTTCGGGCCCGATTCAGAGGGTCAATCGGAGGTTCATGGCCTCAATATTTTTGCAATTTACAAAACAACTTACAAACGGAGAAACAATGAGAAAACAAAATCGAACGAGATAACAATAAAGGCAAATGAGCAACCACTGTCGATAAAATGGTAGAGACAAAGTTACAACAACATTATCAGTGGAACGAACGCCCATCATTTGGGATTAGGCAGCAAAGGCTCAATAAGGATGTAAATAAGAAATTAAACTTTTAACACCAAGTAATCTTTACAGAGGCTAAAAGCAGTTAGGGGTCGCCGGAATTTAAAACTTTCCGATTAGGTCGCCGGAATATTAAGGGCACAAGATTTATTAGATAATAAAATAGTAATAGTCCACATCCCACAAATAGGGATACATCAACAATGAGAGGCAATGATATCGCCGACGTTTGGTCTTAACTTTTGGTCTTTATTTTCTGATGGAGGAAGCAAATGCAAAACGTCACCGGAAACAATAAGCTACGGCTAGATCTGATGATTACCAGCTTAACAGTAAAATCAACCAACGTCATCAAGGTTGGAGGCGTTTCTTCGATGGCCACAGCACCGGAACAACGGCCAAAAGAGAAGATACGTTCAATATTATGCCGAAAAATAAATTTCGACTAGATCTAAAAGTTATCCATGACTTCTGGCGCGTTGTGGTAGTGATTCAAACGACGCAGTGATGGCGTGCGGTTGAAGTAGCAGTCACTAGCCAGCCGGTGATGAAATCTAGTGGCAGTGTGCGCAGGAGATAGGAAAGATGGCGGATAGCCATGAGAGAAGGGGTAGAGAGATTCGGGGGTGCCACTGCCTGGTAAAACAATGAGAGGAGGGATAAGGTTTTCCCTTATAAAAAATGTTGATGGAATCCTCCCCCACCCCAAATGTGTAGTGTCTAGATATTTTATGTAATATGGTGTTAAAACACGTGGCCTTCATTTAATCAAAAATAAAATGACAATGTAAAAATGAAAGATGTGGTAAAAAAATAAAACCACTACTTCAAACCATGAGCAAAACTGTGTGCCCCTAATACTATGTGCTATAATACAGTGTATGCTCTTTTATTTATCCGTGTATTTATACATATCAGTGTAGAATGACTAGCTTACTAGTTAAGATTTATAATGGCGTAAGAAATAATGGTCTTTATTCAAAGTAGAAAATAAAAGACAATGTAAGAATAAAATATGTGATCACGAATAAAATCACAGATTCAAAACGATGGACAAAACCATGGGTATACTGTGTATTTTATTTGTGTATATATGCATATCAGTGTAGGATATTTAGCTTACTAGCTAAGCTTTAGGAGAAGATAAAACTGTATATTATTTATTGCCCACTAGGTAGAAGATTATACCCGTTGGATAAGATGGTGTCAAGTCACATCCAAATGTCAAGTCACATCAAGTGCGTTGTCATATCGAGTGTGTTGTCATATTAGATGTTGATGGAACGTTGGGTTTAATTGTATTTGATCTGTATTTTGAGATAAATTTTATCGACTTCCAAGTAATTAATAAACTGTGATATGAATTAAAAGATGACCATTTAATTTTAAAATATGACTTGTAATATTTATTAAAAATGACATCTACTACAATAATATTTGTAGTAATTATTTTATTATTTTTGATATTGTAATAAATTGATAGAAAAATTCTAATATTTTGAAAATATCAATAAATTTTTTTGAAATTTAGAAAAATGCACAAAAATTAAGGTGTTTGACTAATTGCAATAAAATGATAAAAATTTCTATATTTTGTAAAAATAGGAATAATTATCAATACAGTGCATTAAAGCTAAAAATGTGCAAAATACTACATTTTATCATTATTTTGACTAGGAAGCATGCATAAGTTAGTTCTTAAATATGAAGGGTCAAAATTGAGTGTCAACAACTGCCCTTGTTTGATCAAAGATGATGTAAAAGTTTTCGGGCAAACAAAGTGACACTATACTCAATTTTGTCCCGACTTGATAAAGTGGAGAATGAAGAGGTTTTGAAGATTGCGACCGAACTCTGGTTTTTGAGTTGCCTACATATCTCGAGTTGTACGAGAATCAGGTCGCCAGTAGTTGTGGAATGCTTGCGTACTACTTGTGGATTGTAGCCTCATGGAGTGGAAGATAAATATTCGAGGACGAACATGATTCGTGTGATCTCGACATTGTTTTCAAGATTTTCCAGTGTCGGACAGTGGTAGCACTGGGGCGTGGATGTTGGATGATAGGTGGATTGGTTTGAATAAACTTTGACGTGGGTACAACCGAGCTCTATGTTGAGTTTCCTACATATCTCGAATGCAACGAGAATCAGGCCGATTATAGTTTGAGAAAGCGATGGGATGATTTGATTTTAATTTTTGAGTTTTTAAAATTGCCCCAACATCAAGTTGTGATTACACTAGTTTTTATTCTGACTATGGGGTTTGAATTTCCTACACACTCAATGTCAATGGGACGTAAATATGATGCTTGGGGACATGTCACTGATTGAAGTTGGAAAGCTCGATGTCCGTCCTCAAAATCTGCCCTAGTTTGATGTTAGAAGATAATTTCACGTTGTGTCGCATTTTTGATCAGTAGATTTGATGAAGTGTGGACTATGCTTCTTTTTGAATTGAGGAAGATGGATTGTAGTGGCTGTAATGATGCTCGAGAATGATATGATTTTTTTCTCACTTTTTTGGAATGTAGTGGGGGCCCAGGTTGGTGTGCCGGGACCCTGATGCCTACCCTTTTTTATTGGAATTCGAGCTGGGTACGGGTTCAAAGTGACCAGAGCACTTTTATTTTACTTTGACTTTGAAATGTCCATTATTCTGGAGGGCTCTTATGGACTTTGAACTTGATTCTGAATGTTAGACGTACTGGTAGTTACCGTTCATATACTATCGGAGCAATTGATTGTTAGACGAGCTCTGATTTTTCGGACGTTGTTAGGGCTTTGAATCTCCATGCATTGGGATTATTTGGGTGGAATTTAAATTCAAATCTCTGCGTGATGAGAGAATTCGATTGGAATTGAAATCTCCATGCGATGGGAGCATTGTACTAGAATCTAAATTCGAATCTCCACGCGATGAGAGTACTCGACTAGTGGCGGGATGCATGGCGCGCGGAGTTTGAGCAGCTGTGCTAGGGTACTATGTTAGTGTCATAGTATGCCATTAGATTCAGTGATTTGTTCAGACAAGCACATGCTTTGGTTTCCACAGTTAGAGAGCAAGTCCGTAGGTTCATTGAGGGGCTTAGCTATGGTATCCGATTCAGCATGGCTCTGGTGTTGGAGACAGATGTTCCATATCAGCAAGTGGTAGAGATCACTCATAGATTAGATGGTATGCAAGGTTAAGAGAGAGAGGACAGGGAGGCTAAGAGGCATAGTGGATTGAGAGGGTCTACTGATCCATATTTGGGAGGCAGGGTACGTCATGGTAGAGGTTTTGTGGGTCAGTCAGTTTAGTTTGCACTTCAGGCTTCACACGGTGTTTCAGATATCCATGAGTCCTAGAGTGCCCGTACCGGACAGCTTCCACAACCACATCAGTGGAGAGGTTGCTTTGAGTGTGGACATACCAGCCACATGGTGAGAGATTGTCCCAGACTTTGGACAAATATGTCACAGCGGGGTATTCAGTTTATGAGTTCTACTTCACTTGCTGCTATGCCTGAATTTCTAGATAGGGGTGGAGGTCAGGCAGGTAGAGGTCGCCCTAGAGGGGGAGGCCGGGCCCATTGTTATGCTCTTCTTGGTTGGGCAGAGACCGATGCACCAGATGATATTCTTACAGGTATGGTTTAAGTTGAGTATACAGATGCATTTATGTTACTTTGATCCGGTCCCATTTATTGGTAAGATTCATCCTACCTTGCTTCAGATATGGTTGTGTTTTGTGATTTTTGTACTGTGTTCATGTGTTCACGCTAGTTGAGAATTTTATTGTGATAGTCCGTGTCTATCATTCTGGTTTGGTTTCTTTCGTAGTTTATGAGACTTAAGTGGAGTTTCTGTTAGTTAAATACGGTTGGATTTGATCTGATCTCCGGATGGTTCGGCCCAACTTGTGGTTTAGGTGTTCTACATGTATGCGAAGTATGTTTCATGTTGTGGTTTTGGTTCTACGGGGTTAGTTGGTAGAGTGTCTTAGTTGATGAGATGTTTATTTTACTTGTGATTCTGAGTTAAGGATGGGGACCTGGTGTTCTTAATGGATAGGTGTGTTTGTGCTGGGCTATGTGCCACGGAGAGGTCATATTAAGGTAAGATTTATTATGGTTGTTGCGTGTATCTCGCTTCTTCCTTATAGATTGAATCCGCAATGTGGTATTGGTAGGGAGTTATGCCTGCTTGGCTTGTTTGATGGTTCTCTCATGTGTTCTTCTTTTCATATTCAGTCATATTTGAGTTGTGCTTGTTTGGTTTGGATTGCGATGTATGTGCCAAGGTGGTGTTTGAGGTGGCTTATTGATTAGATGAGTAGTTATGAGTTTCGCATGTTTCTTGTATTTATTTTCACCGTTGTGAAGGTTTGGAACAATGTTCCAGTCGATATGAGTCTGTTTGCCGGTACCGGGCTTGGTGATTGGTAGCTATTGCGGTCAAAGTTGTTACTATGGGCATATGGATGCTGTGTTATGTCATGTGGTTATACCTTTTGGGAGTACGCATGGGCTGTTGTTGCTGGTTGATGATTTTACGGTGTGTTTGTGTGGTAATAGGGCACTTGGTAGTTGTGGAAATTTGATTCTAAGGCTTATCGGCATGAATGGAAGGAATAATCTGCTGTTGAGATGGTGTTGTCGGGCTTGTATGGATTGGGGTGACGTAGGATCACCCATGTGTGTATGCATGATGAGTTTATAGAGTGATTTGATGTCTTGGGAAAGACTCTTGGCACGTTCGAGGACGAACTTGTTTAAGAGGAGGAGAATGTAACGACCCGACCAGTTGTTTTGAGCTTTAAGGTTTGGTTTAGTGGATCGAGGTCTTGATTGGCTTCATATTGTGTATTACTACTTGTGTGCATGGTTGGATTTGATTTTCAGATGATTCGGAATGAATTCAAATGCGTAATTCTCGCTTTAGAAGCTTACGTGGAAAATGTTGACCGATGTTTGACTTTTGTGAAAATGACCCCGTAGCGGTGTTTTATGGCTCCGATAGGTTCATATCATGATTTTGGACTTGGGAGTATGCCCTGAATCGATTTTGGAGGTCCGTAGGTTGGTTTGTGTTGTTTTACCGAAAGTTGGGAATTTAAAGGATTAGAATTTTTATAAGTTTGACCGTAGGTTGAGTTCATAGCTATCATGTATGGATTTTTGTTTTGCGACTTGGAATATCTCTGTTTTGTCATTTGGAACCTGTCTGCAAAGTTTGGCGTCATTCCGATTTGTTTTGATAGGAATCAAACGCGGTTGTGTTTTTAGAAGTTCTAGTGTTTCATGTGTTTTGGAGGTCCAATTCATGGTATCGTATGGTATTTTGATGATTTGATCGCGCGAGCGAGTTTGTGTTATGTTTTTAGACGCGTTTTAGAATGTTTGGAAGAGTTTGGAGATTTGCTGGGGTGATCAAATGCCTCAGGTCTTGCATTTGCGAGTTTTGGATCGAATTTGCGATATTAGGCAAGGTCTGCTAGGTGCGCATTTGCGATCCAAGTAATCGCATTTGCGATGGGGTGGCCTGGGTAGCTGGTTGGCATTCACGATCTTCTTGGTCGCATTTGCGATGTGTCCAAGTTCACAATTGCGGACTTTTCATCGCAACTGCGATGACAACAAGAATGGGAGGGCTTCGCTTTTGTGATTGTTCCTTCGCATTTTCAAATCCCAGGTCTCATTTGCGATAACTGCGACTGGACAAAAAGCTTAGGGATGAGATTTTTAGTCTCATTTTCATATTTTAGAACCCTAGACTCGGTAGGAGGCGATTTTGAAGAGGGATTTTAATCTACAAACTTTGGATTTGAGCCGAGCGGAGGTGAATCGTAAAGGAAAAGCTATTGTAGAGTGTTGATTGAGGGATTTTGAGGTAA